TAAACTCCGCCACTGACTTTCCAGTCTAATGCAATCGCGGTAAGATTTATGTATTTCGATCGGAAATCTAGTCCAAGGTGTGTATCGAGAATGTTGTCAAATTTCTTTAACGTTTCCAGAGGGAAAGGAATTTTCGGAGGATTAAATGGATAATAATCTGTTAATATTCCCCAAGATATATATACTATTGGAAATTCTCCAACAAATTTCAACCGTTCCTCTGGAAGTCTGTCAACTACAACATACAGATTTTGGTTTTCATAGATTGAAACTTCTGTAGAAGCTTTCTCTAACTCTTCTCTACCATAGAAAATGTCACGAACATTTGGGTCGTCTAAGAAAAATTGCAACTCTTTTTTTATTTGCATAACGGAGTTGAAGAATAATATTTCTTCACAGAATTCTTTCCAAGACATGGAATTGACTTTCAGGTTGTTGTAAACTGAACCCCCTATTGACTTCGTGTCTATCATCGCTTGAATAAACTTCGAGAAAGAAGGGTATTCGCATCCATCGGCGACCAGAAATGGGCGACCATACATTTCTTTGAATGTTGCAGTATATGTTTTATCTTTGTATTTTAGCTCAACAAGGTCTCCTTTAGAAAAGCAACCTAACAAGTATGCTTGATTAAGTTTTCCATGAATAGCCCTAGGAGTTTCGATAATGATACTAACATGTCTTTCGGCCGGTTTGACAGGAAAATATTCTTTAATCCTCGTTGTCTGCTTCAGTTTTTCACTTCCAAGTTTATTCATTATACTTTATTCAGAGATTTTAAAGAAATTCAAATTTTCGCTTTCAAATGGAATGTTGACCTTCCATAATTTAACATATCTACTGTTGACGCCAATAAATATGTTCGGTTGCTTTTCTTTAATAATCTCTTTGAGATCACTAACTAACTTATCATTCTCGATCTCAATCTTAAAATTATTTTTTTGAGGGTTTTCGCCCGCCACTAGACAGAATAATGTAATAGGAGACATGTTTAAAAGTTGAAAGGTTATTTAGCAATAAAATGCGAGAGAGTGTGTACATTATATTTATATCGTCAGTAACTTGTCTAAGTGACACAGAAATACGTAATTATTTCACGTCCAATCAAAATTAAAGAATATAGGATAAACATTTATTTTTACAAAAAATATAATAGAATTATTTTGTTTTTTTTTTCAAATTGTCTGCCAAATTTTGTAACAGAATTTTTTTATTATTTCTTTTTATAAAACTAGGCAAATAAATTCAGTTCGGGTTGCTCGGCGAAATATTTCGCCTTTTTTATTTTCAGTTTCTGCTATTCCGAAATTGGCAAATTTTTAAAACTTAATGATACTCTTTAAATATTTTGAATTTTGACCTTTTTTTATTGTTTTATATTAAGCTTTGAATATATTAACTATCAAGAATTAAGTTTTTCAAAAATGAGTAAAAATTCGGTGCAACCTAATGTTATATATCGTATTAATAATTTCACTTCGGTAGACTGGATCCCATTCATCATCATCTATGGGAACTTCTACAGTATTTCCTTCCTCTAAATTATTATCCTAAGTTCTACGAATAATTTCACTAGATTTTTCAATCCATAATATTATAATTCCCTTTTTACTTATGCATAATAATAAGCAGATATTTTCAATTTTGTTTAAAACCACAAGTCCTTCTTTTGCCATATAGCTATAAAACCAAGGCTTGATCAAACTTGTTCACATCCAGCTGAATAAGGAGTAATAAAAAATTTTAAGTGTTAATTACACCAGGAAAAATTGTAAAATTACACATTTTGAAAAAGACAAAATAGACAATACTAAACCCTAATTTTATAATAGCCGTTAAAAAATATTTTTTTTTTTAAGAAATTTGTCGTTAAAAATATTTTTGTTATGATATAAAAGTACTTATATTGGACAATAAAAATTTTCAGTAATCGTAAACGATAATAGCAACTAATGTATATTTAGTCAGAGCAAATATTGTTAAAATTTATTAGAATTTGATGCACTGCACATGTAATCAAACTTGTTAACAATTGATTGGAAGTTTCTAATACAAATGAAAATTATGTTTCCAAAATTGCTTCCATTTTCCAAGTGCATTTCTCTGCAAGTAGGTGCTTATCTCTTTTAATATATACAATAGTTATATATTTTTTTAGTTAAATAATTGATTGAATTATTATTACTTATCATTAGAATACTACAATTTATATGAAAACTCATCGTTATATATGTTATATAAATAAATTTAAAATAAAATAAATCTACAACTGTTTTGATTAATCATGTCGAATTTTTCCGGATTTTACGAATTTTCAATCACTGCATGTCTTAAGTTACACGTACTATTATAAAATAATTCTTGACAGAAATATTCATGTATGCGAATAAGCCCATCTAAGCACAATGATGAAATTAATAGACAGCATTTTTACGCATATAATAAAAATAACTTCGAATGATATAAAGTCGACGGAATCGAAATATAGATACTGTTTATCTTTTGAAAATTTTTTAAATTTTTTAATTATTTGCGGTTGTATTAATTCGTTATTAATTTATATATAATTATTATTTTTTTTTTAAAAAAAAATTCACACTACTTATTGATCCGGAAATTTAGAACGGAAGTAAGTCTTATTGGAGTGGAACATTTTGTAATTTATTTTTTTATAATCTTAAAAAAAAACCACACTAAACTTTGTAAACGGTCCAGATTCTTGAAAACTTGGGTTAGAATTGATCGTAGTAGCCCTATTAGTATTTTAATTTTTATTTTATTTTATTTTTGATTTTATAAAAAAACTAACAGTAAACTTACCTTATGGGACGAAGGGGAGAATTTTTTTAATTATAAATAAAAACTGATATCAACTTAACCCTTGTAGACCGATCCGGATCCTTGAAGCATTAAATCGGAGATATGTTCTAAAAATAAAAATTAATATAACTTACCTTTGTAGACCAATCCGGAATCTATATACCTTAGAACCTTTGATCGGGGGTAAGTCTTGATGGAGTGAAATATTTTAGTTTTTTCTTTTTTTTTTAAAAAAAAAAAATTATTTAACGCTTGTTCTTGATGATATTTATAAAAATACCATTTACTTCTTTGAAGGTAATTTAAAGAACAAGGAACTTTTCTTTAAATAAATAGGTTGGCATTCAATAAATATTGCAGACAAAATCAATATTTACACATAAAAGATATTATCCATGAAAATATAGTAAGTAAAGTTTTGTGAATAATTTAATTATTTTTTATTTTTATTTTTTTTTTTAATAATATTTAATTTTTTTTTTCATAGTATCCAAAAATATAATTTACAGAAACCCGTGATTTTTACTAAATAAGTATAGACTCTGGCGAAAGTAATGGCACTCAGTTTTTTAATAATATGTGCGAAATTTTATAATAAAATATTAAAAAAATTTTTTATTTTCTGAAAGATAGGCCAAAATTACATATATTTTATTAATTAATTAATATTTGGTATCCTTCTGCGTCAATACATGCTTTAATGCGACTTGACGTGCTATTAATGCAGTTAACTATTGCAATGTTTTCAATATCATCCCAATCCTTCCTAATTAAATTTAAAAAATTTCTTTTGATTTTTTTCCTTTATGCCACCATTCTCTTGACCTCATTCTCAACATTTTTTCTTTAAAATAGCCCAAATATTCTCAATAGGATTAAGTTCAGGGCTATAGGAAGGCCAAGATAGAACCCGACCCAGAAGGTGAGTTTCCAAGTCACCTTAAACATCATGGAAAGTATGTTTCAGGTTTTTATCTTGCTAAAGGTTATCATGCATTGTCATATAAATCTTCATTCATTTGGCAGTATAAATGATGATCCAAATTTTCAGTGAATATATGCATGCCAATTTTTCCCTTAATGCTGATTGCACCCTAAACATGAACTTTAAATAGGTGTTTTACCATCAAAGTAATAGGTATTTTGTTACATAACCATACAGGTATTACAAACCATTTGAAGTGTAGTTTTATCGAAAAATATCACCTTTTTCTAATTATAATTCACATGATCACAGGCTCAAAGCAACCAGTTCTCTTTTACTTTCTATGTCAAAAGAGAAATCTTTCTAAATGAATAGATACAAATCCAAGATTTTTTAACTAATGACAAATAGTCCATATAACTTTAAGCTCTGGGTTATTTTTTAAGTTGAATCAGTGAAATGATTATACTTGATGATTATTCCAATTTGGCAACATTTTTTAAGAGTCAATTTTTGTGGTCAATCAGACTAATAATCTATAGTAGACTTATCAATTTTCTTTAATGAACTAACATAATAATAACAGAAGTATAAGAGAATACATGTTCTTTATAAAATTTTTCTTACATTTCAGATTTTTTGCTACCAAAAAAGGTTAACAGTATTTCAGTTTTTTTTAAGGGTGATTAATGCCATTTTTGAATAGAAAAACATAAAGAAATTCATTTTTTTCTACAACTTTTTTTTGTTTGTTTATTAAATATTATTTATAAAAAATATTCTAAAAATACAGAAAAATTCTAAAGTAAAAAATGAATATATTACGACTCAAAAACAAGCAGTACTTATAGTACTATTACTTTCATCATTGACTGTATTAATATTTCTTGATAGATACTTAATAGCAAATGCATGGTAAATAAATTTACATAAATAATGCATGAAATCTTGAGCAAGTAATTCATTCATATTAGTAGTGTTCTATTACTGACTTATTATGTGAACTGTTTTATTTTTGCGAAAGTGATAATTTCTTTTTTGTAAACATAAAATATATAAATGTCAAATTCAAAAACTAAAAAAAACCAAAATAAATTAACAAAAATAAAACTAACTCATCTTAATATCTGTGCATATGATTTAGTTCAAAAATAAACTAAATGAAAAAAGATACTAGTCTTTAAATAAATTTATTTAATTACTATGATCTAAATGATTACTATCTATATAATACCCAATAGCTAAAGAGAAAAAAAATTAATCAATATACTTAAACTAACCAGATTTAGTGTAGAATAATTCATCATCATTTAAGTATATATAAAATTTAATTATTTTATTTATTCTATTAACTTTATTGTTACTAAATTTTTCTGATTTTTATATTTTTCATATAGGCAGATTTAGTTCATTTAATTTATGTCAGCATAATGCTTTATTAACTTTTGTATATATATCAAAGCTAATTGGCTTTCAAATAATTTTATATTAGATGAATGTGCAAATAAATAAAATTAACATTTCCATTTCGCTAATATACTAAAATGAAAAAAATTAATAAAATTGCATACTTAATATATCTAACTATTATGTAACCTATCTGACTTAACTTAGTATGTATTTTGTCTAGATTTTTTTAAGCTTTATAAAAATGTTTAAATAGTGCATAAGTTAGCTATTTTTCTCATAAGTTTTATTTAGTTACTTATTATTAGAGATTCAGCTAGATTTTACTATTTAATATGCACAAAATATACTAAAGAATTTAGAAATTATCTAGAGCTATAATGATATAAAATACTAAAATATATACTTATAATATAATTAATTTACATATTCAGCCATTTCTGAGATTAAACTTTCACATTTTAAAAAGACTATAATTAAGGAGCTATAAAATAATTTAAAAATAATCATACTATAGTTAGAAATAGTCTTTTTTATTACATTGTAGTGAAGATACTTTTATTAGTATTTTCAAAGATCATATCCCATGTTATTCTTTATATAGGT